ACGACAACCCGTAGGGGAAGACGGAACAAGAGGAGCCATGTTTTTCAGACGGGGATACCTTGATTAATTGGAAAGGAACGAAACATCACAAGTGCCAAGCCAACAAGACGGAATGTGTTTTGACAAGGTGTTTTCGGAGGGAATTACTGTGTTCAATTCGAATTCCAAAAACAAAAAAACGGCTGATTTTCCTGGGTCTGTTTCATGCTTGAAAAGAGATTATTTATCTTCGAGATTATTACCCGAAAGACAAATTTCGGCATTAGTCCACGTATGTCTATAAGAATACACGTAGCTTTCGAAGCCAAGAGCCATATGACTTGAACACCAGGCTGATTTGAAAGCACTGATAAAGCCCACACTGCGAAAACCAACCTCAGCAAACAGAAACGTATATTCAACTGCTAAAAATGTATTTTATGGCTCAGGAAAATTTCCTTAGCGCGCCATTTCTGGTAGTGTGACTGCAATGGTGCCACGTTAGCGTTCCTTATAAGACCAGATTAAAACCGAGCACGAGGACATGTCTGACTCATTTTGGGAAGCAACATCTTCACAATGAAAATATCACAGAACCCCGTCAAGTTTGAACCAAGCAAAGAAACTAAATACCCGCAACGCTATCACGTATCTCCTAGCTTTCCACCACACCAATTCATATTTACACACCAAAAGGTATACGAGCAATGCACGAACTACCCAACTCTCAAAAGACCTAGGAAAACCTCTTCAGTGTATCTGTGCCACTCGAGATTAAATTCCTGAACAACCAAAGACAAAATGGCTTTATCCGCCCCATCTACCTGATAGCCGGCCGATCTTTATTTACCATCGATCTAGCTATACGTACGTAATAACAAATGTTTGTGCGGCCCAGGCCCACGAGAGAACAGGTTCACTCTCAGCCTGTGTTGCCAAGGTGTGATTGTTGCCAAGGTCGTTAGTTAAATGATATCACGATGCTGTGAACAGCCAAAAACCTTTTCCACGACCAAATTTCAAGTTACGTTATTTTGCTTGGAAAATTCTAGAAACCACTTCAAACTAATGTTTGATTCAATATGCCAGTCGTCTTTTAATGGAAGGAGCTCATCTTATATGGCAAAGGATTGTTGAAGAAGTGTACCAAACCATTATGGTATACGCTGCGATGGTAATCAATGGACGCACAATGCGCGCAAAAGAGTGTCAACCCGTATTATTGTTCAAACAAATTTTATCAAGCAAGGGTTCGAAGATCTTACATCATGAATCCTGCAGATATCAGCACTAGCTTCCTAAAGGGAATGCGTACGAGCGACAGAAACATAGCAAGCGCGCACAGTAATGGGAAGCACTCAATACGGGCGATTCACAATCCGCTCCGAGCGGAATTAAAGAGGGCGTGTTTCTTTGGTACTCATCGCACAGGCGCACCATGAGGCGCGCATGTATATGCGCATTTGACGCGGAGCACGCTGAGTACGCGTAACTAATTTATTGCGGCATGCATGGTCTTTGCGTACACGCAGAACGCGTGGAAGAACCCGCTTGTAACCACCTGTCTTTCTTTCGCCGATTGAGGGTGCACTTCAGCTGGGGGCAGACAGTACGCGCCTCCAAGAGTTTCCAACACGTTGGCCAATCACACCGCACGAAATCTGTTAACCCTTTTCAAACGCGCATTGGGTTAACCGATTTCGTGTATCATGATTGGCCAACGCGTTGCAACTTGCAAACTCTTGGAGGTGCACTACTGTGAATCGCCTGTATTATTACTGATGTCAGACAGTTTCTTTCTTTGTGATCTTTGAGTTCGTATGAAACCAGACTCCGTAGAATGTGAAACAGAAGACAAACTTTGTCATTACAACACAATGTTATACGTTTCTTTTCACCAGTGAAAGGTCTTTACGAAAGATTTTTCAAGGCAGTTTTTGTTCCTGTTTTCTTTCTAAATCTCCGAAAAAGGAGGCTCAAAAGATGAATTCGGTCGTCAAAAACATCTGACGTATTCCCACAGCTGTCCCTACTCCTCCCTAATTCCCCGAGACAGGGAAATAAAACCATAGTTCTATTCCCGTGGTGAATCTAAAGTGCAGTCGTAAAGAGATTAACGTGGGTGTTAGAAATATGGGACCTTCGGCGTGAGCGGTGTAATGACTTGAGTGATAGTCCCGTCGAGGTTTCAGGGTTTTTTGATGTCGTCGAAACGGAATTTCCAGCGAGTATATCAGTGGGTTTTTAGGGGGGTAATAAAGATTATTGATGTCTTGAAGACGTGCAGGTGAATTACAAGTTTGATCAACTGCAGAAAAAACCCGCCCGCATCCTTGTAAGTGTAGTAGTAGTATAGTAAGAGTAGAAATTACTGATGGTGTCTCACGAACGACGACAAAGGACGACTGGCCTCTTTAAATACACCCCACTGATAACTAGTACTGTATCAATGGCTATCTGGTTGTGGTATCATTAACACGTGGAGAATATTCAACCATAATATGGGGACCAAAATTAATGCACGTAAACAGACGTAAGTACAGGGCTTAGTCTGCGATGACCGGGAAACTATCAGTGACGTAAATGTATATAATAATGACGGGTATATTGACAGGATTCATATCGTGTGCGTACGAACGACCTTCACTTCAAAGGGTTACCGTAACAAATGAAGTTACAACAAAAGCACATCTCGCGTGCGGCCCCACTGATCATAAATAATTGTAACTGATTGCTCTCCAGTGATCTGCTTCTAACATCCATCAAACCCCGATCAGTCTTTCCGATTACAGCTGCCGGCCTACAGTGTCGGGCGTTATTCATGCCCTTTGACTTAAACCACGACGGTCGCGTACGTCGTGCAGGGGGAGAGAGAGGGGGAGGGGTGCAAATGACTCCCTGGGCGGACGTGGGATTGAATACAGCCGTTTCACAATAGTGCGCCACCAAGAGTTTGCAACGCGTTAGCCAATCACAGTGCGCGAAATTTGTCGACCCAATGCGCGTTTGGAAAGGGTCAACAAATTTCGCGAGTTAGATTGGCCAACGTGTTGCAAACTCTTGGTGGCGCGCTATTGTGAATCATTCGTATTCTAATTGACTGCAAATAAATACTACCGCGTACTTTGCACGAACCGATATCCTTGTATCGGACTTGGATTTGAGCAACTTTTGTTCTTTAACCCCGGCAAAGGACTGATATAATAGCACATCGCAATGAGGCCTACCGAGGAAACAATGTGAATTGTTGTTTGTAGGCCTACTTGTGAATGACAATTACTCGCTACATTATCTGATAACATATGCAGGAATGCAACAGATTACCTGTTAAATTTGTAAGTGTAGCAATTGATCCCGCCTAGATAGCCATTTCATTCACTGGGAAAAGGTCGTTCGTTATATACGGCACACAGACGGGTAAGAACTGATTTTGCCAAATCTTTTATTACAATGACGTTGTAAGGCGACATTTTAAAATATTTTCGTAACATCAAGACCTACCAATCTATGATAATCTGACGGAATTTGAATAACACCATTTAATAGGTTTCCTTTTAAAATAAGCATATTGTTTACATCATTAAAGCAATCTCCAGGCTATTTCGCACTTGTTGCGAAATCTCCTGTAAAAGTTTCCTGTCCTCATGCAGAGTGCATGCAACAGAATACGAATTACCAATGGATGGCCAGGTACAAACATCTGCCACGCCGTTGTCACGATCCACTGATCGGAAAGGATGATTATCAACGGCAAAGTCCCAGGTTGGCACACGGTAAACACGGCAGCCGCGTCTCGTGCCTGCTGATTTCGTTCCTATAAGACTTTAATCATGGAGTTGTATGTACACAATGTAACGCAATTATTCTTTGCTCTTTCATCTTTGCATTTCCTTAAAGGTTGCTACATACAGCACCGTTGTGTCCCCCCCCCGTTTTCTGATTCCTCGAGCAAATAACACAGTTTTCCCACTACGTGAAAGTTTTTTTTCTCCTTTCTGGATGAAATGTGTACCAATGAAATTGATGGCATTCCCTACTACCCAAATGGCAATAACTGTATTTCTGTCTGTTCCAAGGTTACGTGCACTTGACGCTATAACAGCCTGAACGTTGACAGATATCACTGAATGTTAGTTTCTGCAGGCGTCAAATTCATATGTCAGGCGTGGTTACCATTAGGCGTAATAGTGATCACGGCGTCAGCTCGCTACAGAGATTTCCAGATAGCAACATCACACATCGATTCACAAGATCTATTAAACAACCCTTACGGTCATATCAAATTACCTGGACGCATTAATATTTAACGAGTCTGGCGCGCCTAGTGTCTATACAGTGACTGTCCTTTATGAGACGACAGGTTGTAGAACAACTATCCTCCCGCACATTAATAGTCTATAATTTATTGTACTTAACGCTGGTTCATACTTCAGGGCGAAAGCGAAGCGAAATTACGTCACAAGAGATTTACGGCGAATTTCGAGTAAGTTAACATGTGTTAAACGTCTGCGAATTAGCGGCTCGTGCTCAGACGTCACAATTTCGCGTTTGTGTTCACCTTCACGGCAAGTATGAATCGACCTTTCGACCTTCTAGAATAGCCAAGCAAGATTCAAGCAAGAGCGGCGAGTGGAAGTAACTTCCTAGGTCCATGGGCGCTATTGAGAATACATTCCATAAGAAAACATACGGTAGAAAGTGGCGTTATTATACAAATACTGACGTGAAGGCGACAATAAGGCCTGGTCTCCATGCCTTTTAAGACAAAAACTATAAGTGAGTACCGTTTTACCTCTTAAAATCGTCAGGGAAGTGTCCTCAGGCAAGCCGCACATCAAGGAGGACACACTGAACTACGTGAACCACAGTTGAGTTCGTGCGTGTACATACCCTCAATACTATTCCTACACCTGCATGCAGAAATGCATGGCAGTACCTTTAAAGGTGGGTTTTATGTGTTATCTTGAGACCTTTGCTTTAAAAACGGGTATTTCAATTTTCGTTTTTTGTGTGTGTTCCAGGCTCACGAAAAGGTGGCGGAGAGAGAAGGCGAAAAGTTCTTAGAAGAGTTTACAGACGATGAGTCTGAGAAGGGAAAACGTTTTGGGAAGGGTGGCGCCTACGATCCCCTATCAGCAGGCTTCACAGACAAGCGTTTTGGAAAGGGCGGCGCCTACGATCCTCTATCTGCAGGATTCGCAGACAAGCGTTTTGGAAAGGGGGGCGCCTACGATCCTCTCTCAGCCGGCTTCACAGATAAGCGTTTCGGAAAGGGTGGCGCCTACGATCCTTTATCTGCAGGATTTACAGATAAGCGTTTTGGGAAGGGTGGAGCCTACGATCCTCTCTCAGCCGGCTTCACAGATAAGCGTTTTGGGATGGGTGGCGCCTATGATCCCCTATCAGCAGGCTTCACAGACAAGCGATTTGGGAAGGGCGGCGCCTACGATCCCCTCTCAGCCGGCTTCGCAGACAAGCGTTTTGGAAAGGGTGGCGCTTACGATCCCCTCTCAGCAGGCTTCGCAGACAAGCGTTTTGGGATGGGTGGCGCTTACGATCCCCTATCAGCAGGTTTCACAGACAAGCGTTTTGGGAAAGGTGGCGCCTACGACCCCCTCTCAGCCGGCTTCGCAGACAAGCGTTTTGGAAAGGGTGGCGCCTACGATCCTCTTTCTGCAGGTTTCACAGACAAGCGTTTTGGAATGGGGGGTGCGTACGATCCCCTCTCAGCAGGCTTCACAGATAAGCGTTTTGGGATGGGTGGCGCCTATGACCCTCTCTCAGCCGGCTTCACAGATAAGCGATTTGGGAAGGGCGGCGCCTACGATCCCCTATCAGCAGGCTTCACAGACAAGCGTTTCGGGCAGGGTGGAGCCTACGATCCCCTCTCAGCAGGCTTCACAGATAAGCGTTTTGGAAAGGGTGGCGCCTACGACCCCCTTTCAGCAGGCTTCACAGACAAGCGTTTTGGGAAAGGTGGCGCCTACGACCCCCTTTCTGCAGGCTTCACAGACAAGCGTAGTTTCTTGCACGGACAATACGATCCTCTCACCACTGGCTTCGTCGACGGTGACAAGCGTGGAGGATTTATGCGTGGTCCTTTCCGTCACCTCGTCACAACTAAGCGAGAGCCCGAGAAGAAAGACAGCCGGTAAGGAGACTAAGGTTCGCAGGATTTCCTATTACAAATAACTCGAAAACGTGTTCCTGAATCCTTTCGACACTGTACAAAGATCTGTTGAAGCCACTGACTCTAAAAATGTCCAATGATGTTCCTACATTGTTCCAAAAGGTCAACAAGAGGTCGAGAAGGTAAATCAACAATAGGTTTACTGGCGGACCTACTTGAATGTGATGCCTCTAAGTAGTTTATTAGTTTAAAAAAAAACGCACATGGTTTTCAGCGTCGATGGGCTCGTCTCAGTATCCATCGGCTCTGTTCCATCCACCACTTTCTTACCTATAAAACGCTCACATTATGGTTAACATTTTATTCCCCTCTGGTTTGTCTAACTGTACTTCCCTTCATACTCCATGATGCACTTTTAGGGCAGCAACCATTAATGCATGCTTCAATCCTATACTCCCTTGGGCTAATTCTCTATTTCGCTTCATGTTCCACGCCCTTCTATGTATCCACTATCGTTTGATACTGTCGATAATTTGGAGGTTTAAATAATAAGCATAGTAACCTAACAGGCAACCGTGTTTTCTTCAAGGATGAAGCTCAAAGCTGGGGAATGGAAAACGCTTGAAGAAGAGCAGTCGTTTGCACATCTTTCTTTCTCTCTCTCTCGAGATGTTATTGCTAATTGAAAAGGTGGAATTGTGATCCGGTTCCTAAACCTGTTATTTGAATGTGTACTGTTGGCTAAACTAATGTAATAAATTAAAAGTATTGTCGTTAGACTTGGCATCGAGCCCCCGATAAATATATAGTACTGAGTAGCAAATAGTAATATAAGCAATACCTTCTTTTATTTCAAGAATATCAGCTCCAATTTATTGAGTTTGACCGATTATATGAAGTGACCGAATGGTATATGAAACAGTTGGAACAATTGCATTCGCTAGGAGTTAACAAGCGATTTCTAAGAGACGGTTTGTATGAAGCTGCCATGGCTAGCATGTGCATTTACGATAAGGAATATAAATACATCACAACAATCCCAGTTGTACTCACGATATGCGACTTCCATAGCAAAGCAAAATAAACTACTCCCTTGTCAGAAGTACCGATGGATTTTTTGTTCAAATGTTACGGCGCTTCTTGGAGGAATCATGGTTTTCTTTTCCCTGACAAACTATGGTAAGTTTTTCTGTGTATATCCGGTAGTGCAAACTCGATACCTGTTTTATAATTATGTTTCGAGGGGCCACACGAAAGGACGGATTCCTTTTGAGTACTTCCAAAGTAATAACAATGTATGTAAATTTTCCGTTGCCTATTGATAGTTATTTAAATAATAACAACAATATATTGTCTGGTAGGATACATCTTGTGATTAATTCTCTAATGCATATTATACTGAGGCGACTATGTCAGCCGCTCCAATTTATTTAAGGCTTGCGTGTCGCTATTATTTATTATGTGGATGAACAATCTTCACTACATTAGTATTATCATTATACTTTATAAACTTTGATACATCAGATACTTAGGAATATGGGGTTGCAGTCCATAAGCAATTATAAACAATCGTGTGATATACAGATTACAGATAAATTTTAGGGCACATGAAGTTAAACCAAATTTGAATAATACTCTAAGCAGAAAACTAGTCATGGTAGTAAAAACGAGGATCGTCGTTGCTAACCCAGGTGTACTTGGATTAATATGTGTTAAGAGCGTAACTGTAATTCAACTGTAAATAAACCAGAAGTTATAGTCCAGGTAAGAGTCTGGGCTTGCATCGTATTTTGCCGCAGTGCAAAAATTTGTCTACTTTATGCGCTAATTTCATTTCGGATACTGACCCTACAACGCCCCATGCAGGTTTAAAGTCGACATTTCTGCGGTTTTAACTCGAGTCACTTTGAGATGGGATATCCAAAGGGATCACTGAAAAACCAGTGGCCAGAGTACAACCTACTTCCATTTGCCACAAAAATGGCGCGCGCTATCCGCAACGTCAACTATTCGACACTTTCGTGCACAGCGAAAACAAAGTAGGCTATAAAGCTTAATAATCAACAAAACGAAACCAACAACAGAAATCCGAGGAAATGAGGTCAAAGCTGACGGACCCGGAGGGGGAATAAAGACAACATCAAAGTCACGAAGGACTCAGAAAGAAATACACACCAAGAGACACCCGAAGAGGTTCTTGAAGGGCGACAAAATGTCAGTGCTGGTGCGCGTTCAAACATTTTCATTTCCGGTGCCCCTCTTTGTCGTCCAAGCGTCATTTTATCAATCGCAAGACATACTGAAGATACTCCACTGGAGTTTGGGTTTCGCGGGATGGACAAATACAAATCTTAGAAAAAAAAAGATGGAGCTGGGAGACGGGGAAAACAACTTTGCCTTTCCTACTTGAATGTCTGAGTCAGATGAATTTGCTGCAGGGGCAACTTACCTTTCCTCTGCTTCTTCGGAGAGGGTGGGATTGGGTCGAGTAGGGAGGACTGGCGTCACGGGGGGCATGACGCGGGCACGGACGGCCATTTACGCACGTGCCTGTGACTCTTGAGAGGGCAGAAGTGATGATGCAATATAGCTGGGGGACAAACTGAGGAGATGAGAGAGGACGGACGGTGAGGGAGATGATGGGAAAAGGCAGCCGTGACAAGATTAGTAGTATGGAGTTTAAAAAAAGCAGTCAGGGTAACGAAAGCTGTTTCTACAGGGTAAAACTACCAAGTCGAAATAAAGGTGCCCTCTGTTAAGCAATATTGTAATACACTTGTACCTATCAGCACCTTTTGTTTTGGAACCTTTTATTTACGTCGCAAATTATTCTCTATAAGAGCCATAAGTACATGAATAACAATATTCAACTTTATCCCCTTAAATTAAAGCAAAACAATAATAAGCCTGATAAATGACTAGTGGACTGCAGTACCTGTAACGTGTACTTGATTCCCGCCAACACAAGAAAAAAGTACCCTTGATTTTATCGTCATTTATTACCAGAAAAACTAACAATCATCCTATACCATCACGCGGGAAATTGAATTAATTCTGCAGGAGGAAACAGAGTTTTTCAGAGAGCGGGAAACGGGTGAACTTGAGTTTGATTTTTTCCCCTGTGACAAAACCATTTGTCTCTATGATGAGTGATCGGAGTGGGGAAAGTGACAGTTGATTGACTTCATAAATGCCACCGCGATTGGTCAGTAATCGAGTGTAATGCTACTACATTTTGTTTCATTTCAGAGAAGGTTTAAAGTGGCTAAAAGCGTTTTGTAGATAGGGCCCATCTGTCCAATAAAATTGTGCTTCCTTTTAGTATCGTGGTTGGCCTTTGTGGTATGTTGCAGTAGTGCACTTGCGTGTGTAGTACATTTTGTGCAGGCGCAACTGTAGACATTTAAGAAGAATTAGAAGTTTGGAACTGTCAGTAATTTAAAGACAAGAATACTGCATACCAATTCGCTGGGGCTACTTTATAGCATCTCCAGTTTGCAAATGAATAAATTGGAAGATGACAGGAAGGACATTGATGGGCTCGCAAATGCTCAGGAAAGTGTGGAAAAGAACCGACTCTCCTTCGTGGCATTTGGGATTAAGCCTAAGCCTACCTTAAATTGGGAGTTTACAAGGGTATACAGAAAACCTTTTTTTTATTTTAATGGCACCCGACGAAATCAAATGTAACTTAATCAGCTTCGGCCTGCGTTATGATAACCAGGTTCCGGGTTTTAAGAAATCAAAACAGAGAATGGTCAACCTACACCGAACTTGATGTCAATCCTGCTGACGCCTGGAACAGTTTTTGAAGAACAGAATACCAGGTTTGTCAAGAATGCCTCTACAAAAATGGCTACCACATTGCACGATGTGCACTGGTCTCTCAACCACGGAGTCATGATCGATGGCAAGTGTGTGCGACTTCCTGGTGTGTGCGAAGGCACATTCTTCGCATATATTGGCCCCTCCATAGAATTTAATGCAATGGGCGAGTTCCTAAACCAGGGCAGAACAGCAAGTGAACCAAAGGGATGTCAGTGGCTTTTTTGTTTCTCGGAGCGTGGACAGGACAAAAAACTAGCAGCTGTTGTAGGAATTTCAAGCCCCTTACCTTCAACCTCTTACCAACAGACCATGACAGTCCAAGCTTTAAGACAGGGAAACAAGACAACAATCTGGTGCATGAATTAAACAATTACTTCCCCACTTCTTCACTACTGTACATCAAAAGTGTGGAACAGAAATATGTTGGTGATCTCACATTTCTCTTCTAAAAAACCACGGAATACGTTACCTTCTCGCGACGTTTATCAAGCCTACCAGTCTGTCCTTATGCTCAAATCTGACTATATTAATTTCACCCACAGGTAAAATCAAGCAAAATAAAACAAAGAACAAACCAAAAAGCTCTATTTAAAATGTAAAATGAGGCAAAACTCAATTTTTGCTTTCGATATTTTAACTAAAAAGCATCTTGTCTTGTCTTCATAATAATTGGGATGATATTGCTTATTATTTGGTATTTATACTTTCTTTTCGGTTTTGTCTAGTGTGCACCAAAGATGCAGTCTATTCTCAACCCCATACCACATTTGCATGCAAGTCATGTAAGTAGGCCTATCTCAAAAAACCCACAAAACGCCAGCATGTTGCTGACTTGCACCCCCGCTTTAAAAAATATTGTTTGTAAGTTTTGTTGATAGTCATTCCGACAATCAGTTTTGGGCCATTTCCCCAGAGGAATGGTATGTCTTCCGGTCCCACACCTAGTAAGTACTAATCATTTTTACCTTTGGGTCGTTCCACAAGCAATTTCACTTTGACTGACAAGCCATCACGCCCACGCTGCTGAACGGCGCCGAGTCACGTTGTTCACACGTGTATAACACCAGTTGTCGTTCCGTTTCCACTTTCAACTTGCTAACTTCTCTTCGTTTCGTTCTTGTTTTCGACGTTCGCCTTACGTGCGTTACCTTGAAATCAGCCTGAGATGGTAACGCTGAGTAACACGATGATTTTTGCATTGTTCATTTTGCAACTAGCCTACGAATGAAAGACTAAGTACAGTAAGTAACTAACAGAAGTTGAAGTTTTCAAAATCTCTGTCAGTGAAGACACTGGACGAAGTTCAGGTATTGCAAAATTTGACAACGGTATGCTATTTTGGAGCGTCTGGGTGCAAGACATTCCAAAAGGCGCATAGTGGCAACTGATGACGTCATGATTTCCCGGATGTAGCAACAATTCTCAACAACAGTGGTGCAGGTGAAATGCGGCCCCCTGGATGTTTTTGGTAAGAAAGCGGGGCAAATAGGCCACCAGCTGTTGCCAAGGCAAACTCAGAACCTATACATTAGCTTTGGATATATATATATGCAACCATACGTATGAAGCCAAACCACGATGGTTGTGTTTGTATTGCGCATGCCCAATGTGTATTAGACTTGCGTTGCAGCCGTTTATCGTTGTATCAACAGTAAAAACACAATCAATTTGTGTGAATTGCGGTAGTCAAGTGGTTTCGGCATAATGGTTTGTGATGCATGGGGTGTGGGTTCGAATCACGGGTCGGAATTGTGGACAGGGAGGTTTTTTTTAAAGGAAAATAAAGCCTAATTTCACACGTGAAGTTTTTATGGTTGGTTGAGCATCTAGATGTCATGCATTGTGCATGGTTGTGAACGGTGGTTTGGCTTCATAGGTGTGATAGCATATATAGCTCTAGCTTAGACAAAAACATCGTGGGTTCCTGCAAGTGTAGGCCATCTGGTTCGTACGTGACTTCGTCAAGGCGGACGCGCCACGATTTGCAGGCTCCCATTGGACGACCACTGAAATTGCGCGTTAACCTCCGGTTTCCATGGTTCCACGTAATCGGCGATAAATGCATGTAACTATGTGCAGTGCATGTGCAGTGGGCGTGGTTTAAACTGAAGTGATGGCACACTTCAAAGTGCATTCTGACGAATCAAAGGCGTCACTAGATCCAATATCGACGAGAATTTAATATCAAATCAGTGCTATGAAATATGTGATTGATTTCAGAGCACTGATTTGATATTATATTCTCGTCGATATTCTGATCACGGTGCTACAGCCCTTCTATATTACTAGATCCAATATGCTGGGGTAAGGGGGCGGTGGGCCATTGCTTTCTAAAGGGTAAAATCAAAGAGCTTGGCCCATTATCTCAGTCAAATTTCGATGTTCTTAAGAATACGGAGGAAAGGGCAGCGCCCAGAGCTGGGATACATGTACGTCCCTTCATCGAAAGCAAATTTGTGTCCACTCTTCTTTTTAAAATCTTGTTTTACTTGTTACTCCTCATTTTCTTACTACTAGTGTTGAGAAAGATGAAAGTGGATTTTTTTTTCTGTAAGGCCAGTTTTTGCATTATCAATGTTATCTAGGGGCTGTTGAAAACTGTTCTCCAATTATAACTGTATGGGGATAATGTGCCTACTTTTAAAAAGTATTCTGAAAGCGAAAAAGGCTTCTAAAAAGTTGCAGCGGAGTGTATAGTGGAGTGATTCTACACGCAAAGCACAATGACAAGTGTGGGTTAAACAACAGAATTTCAAGTGCCTTTTCTAATTTAGTTTAGGCCACGACCTCGTGAGTTAAGACTTTCATGTCTTATACCGCTTGATGCATTAACGCCATACATTGTCAAAACGATCGACTGCGTGTCGGTTTTCGTTAATTACTGTACCTTCTGAAAAAATAGGGCGAGTGCTTTCATTTTAGAATATTCATCACCAGAACAAAAATGGGTTTCAGTTCCTAAAGCAATCGCAACGTAGCTTGATATTCGAGTGTGTTGAACGGTTACTTTCAGGTGTGGCCGGGTGCTCACTTGGTAATTCGCTGAAAATGCGTGCATTTGTCCATGCCGTCTCGAAACGTGGGCGATAATTGATGAAAGTACAAAAAAATAGGATTCAATTAAGGCCACGATAATACCTTTGCCAGACTCGATTCCGAAACATCACTCAACGGATTACGGTCGCCGACATTCGGAATCGACGAAATGAATGGCTACACGATGTCTCCATAATAGTCTTTGGCTTGATGAAGGAAGGCGAAGGGCTGGAAGGCGTTGGCACTTACAGGGTATCATCGAATGGAATTTCGACGGGGGCTAGCGCGACATAGCGGAACACTGGGGAAAAGGAACACGTAAGACGACGGTCGATTTTCCTCGTTTGATGAAGTACTTTAACACCCCCTGGTGTTATCAGAGGACTACGCCAACACTTTTCACTGGTATTGACACCCCCAGTGTTACCAGAGGACTACAGGAACACTTTCGCTGGTGTTAAAGATTTTGGTGTTACTCCCGGTGCACTGTAACACTTAGGTGTGCAAAGTAAGACCAGCGGTGTTAAGGTAACACCCTATGGTGTGGCCATCTGATAACACCAGAAAGTGTTGATTTTAACAACAGAATTTTTACAGTGTTTTCATAAATAATTAGAAACATGAACAAGACGACGCAGATTATGTTTTCCCACTTATTTTTACTTACATGTCCATCATGTAAACTCGGCGTACAAAATGAATAAACGGAACAAATGAAAAAATGGGGCTGGTGAGTGTTATACCGACTGAATAATTAATTATAACAAATAATAAAACCAGGGTTGCAGGCTAGTCGATAGGTTAATGTAGTCGTTTGAGCAACAAATGACTGAAAAACCTTTAAAAGGAATACAAAAATAAAACCCCTGCAATCTAAGCTTGAACTCGATCCGCATTGCTAGTCAGCCCTTTCTTTTAATAGCAACTCAAAAAATTAAGAAAAAAATATTATTTTAAGTAGAGAAGCTGCAAAATTAGTAATTTCTGGTAGTAGGGTTTGAGAAATATTTGCTAGCGTAAATCACCAATAAGTGATGATTTGGGTTAAAAAATAAACATTTAAATTCATTTTTTACATAGCGATTACAAATGATACATTTCATAACGGAACGGTATTTGGGGTTACACTGGAAAATTTAAATAGAGGGAAAGAATTTTTTTACAAAATAAAAATTTGCGGTTATGATAGCTTGTTCACTTACAAAATTCGCTAACGTATAAACAAAACAGTTGCTATTTTAAATACAAGCTACAAAAATATTGACTAATTAAAAATACTACTGTTAGCACCCATAAGACAGCGTTAAAAACACTGATAACAAATGTATATACAGGTAAGCTGTTTTTCTACTTAACTTTTATTTAAAAAGCATGGCTATTCGAGCAAGCTGAGTCGTATTCCTTTATGTATAACTGTTTCAAGGGTTAGAATTGTACAGGTTTATCACCGGGCAAAGAAGCGGTTAGCGCTCCTAATTTCTTACGACAGTTCCCGTTTAGGGTCAGACAAGCCCCCTGTGTGTAATTATCGAACATTCTAACAACAGAATCATAACCACCATCTTTGGACCAGCTATTCAGGAGGGAATAGAGTATTCAGGAGGAGAGTAGCCACGCCCCTAGTACCTGCCAGAGACGTATGTGCAACTGTCCTTTTACGGAAGTGGACACGCCATTGGCTGATTGTTTGCAACCACATACATAAAGGTCTGTAAGCGTTACTTTTTCCTTTCCAAAGGCATTCGCACTTTAAAAACAGACATCTTGAAAGTGATTTTGAAGTCATTATGTACAATGCATTGTGTCCAGTGCGTAGCTTGGGGGTATTTGGGCGATTACAAAATGATTGGGAAGTTCCAATCACATGACTTGGTATTCAAATAAGTGAACGCGCAGACCGTAGATCTCCGTTGCAAAGTTCGATACAACTCTAACAAGCGACACTTGGGAAAAGCAGAGCTCCGTTAAACCAACGGAGTTCAGTCACATACGCCAAAATATTGCTTTAAAGTGAACGGCTCCACTGAATTACAACAAGAACGGGGAATTCACCACCAAATAAATATATCAAGAGAAACAAAACACAACAAATTTACATATAAACAGCAAACATAACATTGGGTCCCAGACAAAACTGATGTTTACTCCCAGCGGCAAAATTCCTTACATGTTTAATTTTTCACTTTACATGGCTTCCGAAACTTTAATGTTAGGGATTTCATTTTTCTATGTCGATAAAATAAAATCAATACATGTACTACCGGCCGGTACTGAGACGTGGCCGGTAAGTTTAAAATTCGCATCATTACAATAACTACACTGCAATTTTAGAAAAAAATTCACTTGCAAAAAAATGGTATCTAAACGATTGCGTAATTTACACACAACACACAAAAACACCTACCCTAAAAGATTTATATCTGCTTTCATTTCGAAAAAGTACCCTGGCATTGTCAGAGAAAGGTTGAAAGGCATTACGCTCTGAAAAACTTCCAACAACGGTTGCCTTTCAGGAATCATGAGATTTCAGTTTGCAAATGTACAAAGGAGAAAACGACTCAAACTGAAGTGAAAGATTTACACAGTTTGTTCAGCCAAAATAGTTTGAGCTTTCTCTCGACATTGAACAGCATACTGAAAGATAGTTTACTATCCGGTAATTTAAACTTTGAAATTATTTTATCTTGGTTTACGACACTATATGACCAGTCAGGCCTCCGGTATATAGGTTTTGAGCGTATACCAAGAGTAAAATACGCAGACACTTCAAGGTTTCATCATCAAACCTCTTTCAAAATAATACTGTAACGGTTTTGATAAAAAAAAGATAAAGAAACACGTTCATGTACATGTATTTCAACTGGAAAGCATGACTGTGTGGGCTGTTCTACTAGCCTGACTAAAGTTGCATGTGTAATTTGATGCAACTGATGAGTGAACGATTCAGTTTTCCAAGTAGAAGTCACGATTTATCCGTAGGGGTCAAGCTGTTTGCTTGCACAGCGTAGAGGCAAGTTTAATTAAATGTTATTGTTGTCAGATGTTAACCTCCTATTCTACTCGCCTGTTGTCAACTACAAATCAGGTATGCAGAGAATTAAAACCAATAGGAAGCTGCATCGTCCCTCATTCAGCACCAAAACCTTCATTATTCATCCAAAAAGAGAACAATTGCATAAAAAATACTCCTAGGATATTCAATAAGATTTTTCTCTGCAACTTGCTTCATTACTATTTACATTAATCGATGCTATAAATAGATATTAAAGCAAACAAATCTAGACTAGTATGTAAAACGTCTTTTCGCCATTTAAAAGTAATTAACATTCCCATAATGCTCTAATAATCCTTTTCAGGCGATTCTTCTACAGTTTATCCAAGTCCACTTATCTACTTTGCTGGAATTTTGCCCGATTTGTTTTCCTGAAAATACTTATGATGTAGTCATGGTTATTTCATAGAAAGGAAACTGCTATGGGCGGATTACAAAACGAGAAGACAATGAATGGGCAGATCTCAGAGAACTGAAAACTGAACTAATGAAAAACACTTCGCCATTAAACATCTCACGTTTTCTCACATTTCCCACACTCAATCATTCCATTTGTTGCCGCAATTCACCCCTTAAACTTAAACTCTTTTTCACAGTGCAGCTATCTCGGTCTTGTGCCTGAAATCCTACCAACACAATGATCACTGAGGAGTCACTTGTTACATCTAAGGTACCAGCCTCTATGGTGAAAGCTTTGAACCAGCTCAGTTTATTGTAATGAAGATAAGTTACTGGTGACTTGAGATTGTATACACATTTCAAATGAAGTTTTTGAAAAGAAAATTGTGCATGACATCCATGAATTTCAGATTTTGCAAACCTCTGTACTCAGTGAACTTTCTGCCATCTTAAATCATAGAGACATATTTCTTTATGAAGAAACTGGGGAACATCTGCAAGTCTAAAAAGTAGAGTCTTGGCAGATTCATGATCCCGGGGGAAAAAATGAGTCCTGCTGAGCTACACCAGGACACTAACTTGCAAAGCTTGAAGACCAGCTTGGTAATAAAAGCTCGCAAGTCACAATTAGCGTGATGTTGAATGACAGTTCAAGTTTTGGATTGGCACAACTGCACACCATACAACTTACTTAATTCACTCTCACTGTCTCACTCTGCAATCAGGCCCACAACGTGCACAGTCTTAATGAAGTAACGGCTTAGAATTCTGTGTATGAGTAGCCTAGCTTGCAGCATGCCCTGTGTTTGTTGACTTATAACTCTGGACCAATGTCCCCTCGCCTGACCACTGAAAAATGCAGAGGTCCACCTGTTGTCAAAAAACCAAACAAACGAGAGATGATTCAAATTATTCATCTAGAAATGTGACCAAGGATCAAAGATCTTGTATATTCTCACAGTTGCTGAAGGCTTTATTTGCAACACTTAAAAGAGTTTCAGAAAACAAATTGCAGCCATTTTTAGCCTTTTAGTTTTGAGAAAATTAGCCGGTTTTCTCAGAAAATATCATACTTATCATCACCAGCCATCAGTGACATAAACTGGGGGTACATTTTGCTGGGGGGAGGGGACTCTTGTATTCTAAAGGGAGGCACTCAATGGGTTTGAACACAGTTAAAACACTATGGTGGATTATCACCCAATTTTTTCATTCTCTAATTTTTTTTTTTTGGGGGGGGGTGGCACAGGCCGGAAGAGGAAGGGGAATAGCCCCTGTAGTTATGCCACTCAAGGCCTTAACCAATTGAGTCAGGTGTCACCCTATGAGTTGGTTGGTTATCTGAAAGAGGTTATGACTTGGGATCAAAGACACTGAGAGGCCATGTTCCAGTTAGTCCTTACCTTGTTCACAGGTCGGCCCCATCCACTGGTCTATACAGTTACAGCTTCCTGTCGTCGGATCACAGGCAGCGCCATTGGCACAGGCGCAGATAAACCGGCAATTGGGACCATAATGGCCCTCCTGGCATCCTACAAAAACAAAAAAAAAACCCACAGAAATCACTGAATGAAACAAAGGCCATTTTTTAAACTCATATGAATTTTTTTTCACAAACTTCTTTGATACAATGCCTTCAGGTATTGAACCGCTTTCAGGAGGAGCAGCCAGGGTGTCATACGACATCCTGGAATGGGGATTTATCATAAAAATGCTAATGGCCCATGACAGGAGAAAAAACAGTCTGGACTGGAATGGCACCGTCTGACTTTTTGTGGCTGCAATGATAATTTGCCCACAAGTTTTATACACCAACAAGAAGAGGGTTCACAGGGTAGCGTCGTGTATAGACAGAGTTCTGACGTGTCACCACTGTTGGAAACAAAATGGCAGGTGTATGCGCCAGTGCACATGGAAAGTTGGTATACAATAGCCGCTGCTGTACATATAATGAACAGCCATTTTGTTTCCAACATATGAAGCTGGAACTTCTCTCTCTCTCTTTGCAGCTCTGACACAGGGTCTGCAACGTCTACTCGTTTCTCACCTCTGAAGAGGTATCTCAACTTTTATCAACCATGCCTTCTAATCCTTTATTACCCTAGGGCTTAAACACAATGAAGAAGCAACCATCAACATAAAAGGCGTTGGCCTCCACAAATGTTCAAATCTTTCATGAGGAAAAGCTCAGAGAGATAGACCAGAGGACTTAAGACAGAGAAAGGACACAGTGCCAGTCTAACCTTGCTCACAGCGTGGCCCAGTGAAGCCCGGTGGGCATTCACACCTCCCGCTGACCGGATTGCACATGGTGAGGTTGGCGCAGTCACAGGTGTCCAAGCAGTTGGGGCCGTAGAAGCCCAGCGGGCACGACTGTTTGCACTCAGGACCCGTCCGGCCCGGCGGACAGCGACACTGACCGCTGACTGGATCACACTCGGCGGCCGGATGACACTCACACTGTCGGCTGCAGTATGACCCGTAGAATCCTGGCTCACAAACTGTAGGGAAAGAAACAGTAAACTCATGATTTGAAACACTTTCATGACTAAAATGAGCCTATAAAGAGACTTAAAAGTTTGGCTTAAAATTCTTAAAATTATAAAAACATTGGCTTAAAAACCATTTGAAAATGGCTATATAAATGAGTCCACCTTTTAAATACAACCAAACGGGGGTGAGGGGCACTTTTTACTCGCTAAGAAAAAAAAGAAATATCGGGCCATTACGCCTTTTTGCATTGTGAACAGGCACCTGTTCTATTTGGAAAGATTTTGTGATTTTGTGTTTTTTCCTTAAATAGCTTCTATAATATTTAAATTTTCAGAATTTGTGACGATAAACATGGACACTGGTGAATAAAGATAAAACATTTATCATTCGGTGGGAGATCCTATAATAGCATTGTGTCTCCAAGCGCTACATTTTATGAGCTTTTTCTCGAAAAGTGTTATCATTGAATCTGAAAGTGTGGACATACAGATGTCTAAATATCTCCAGAGCGCAGTGCACTACAGGGGTCATTCATATATCAAATTGTAGCTTTTGATGTACAGAATCCAGCCATATCAAAAACTCATAACCTGAATCTGGGAACTTATTACCCATTTTTCTATTTGATCACATATTTGTGACCTCAAGAGGACATGAAGTGACTTTGAAAGTGGACAGTGATGAGGAATGGACTTACTGTATTCGCAGCGCTGACCATAGAGGCCGTCCTTGCACTCACAGCAGCCTGTCATCCTGTCACAGCGGCCGTCATTCTCGCATGCACATTCCAGCTCGCAGTTGGGGCCATACCGGCCACCCAGACATGCTGTGAAAAAAGACAACAATTGGTATGAGCCTCAACCGTATGTTTTAATGTCAACAGATATCCTGATCACAAACTTTAATGAGGAAAAAGAAAGTGACAGAAGGGGCCAAATAAATAATAGAACATAATCAGTAGAAGAGTTTGAATTTAAAAAAATGACTTCAGTAGGATTAAAATCATAGCAATGACAAAAATATATGTTATTTTCTTGCTTTTGTTGTATTTTGTAGAAGACGGAAGGGTTCAGGTTAATTAAGTTGGGTTGAGGTCAGACATAACCAAGTTTTACGTTGACAAAGGACTTCAGTATCTTCTCCAGGCTTTCTCGAATAAATGCTATTTTCTACTTTGCTAACAAAACAACAGCACGCACACCTTTACACCTTTTAAATTCCATCCTGACATGCAGCCAATTAATGTTAAATTAAGTTACATTTTTTCCAGCGACTGTGACGGAATTCAACCTTGTGTTTACGTCCCAAGTGCCAGAGGAATAAAACAGGTGTCAATTAATGATTAAAAGGTGCCCAATTAAGGCTTACAGAGGAGGAAGGTTGGCGTGTAATTGACAAAGAACTGAAGGTTTAATTGGCATAACGAAAGAGAGGGTTGTACTAATGGACAGATGTGGGCATAAATCACGCCATCACAAGTATCACAAACAGCAACATCCTATCAACGATCATCTCAAGTCTGGGAGATCGTTGTTAGGATGAATTTGGTCACAAATATCACCTATTTAATTCTTCAAGCAAATTATAATTTGCACAAAATTCTGTTTGATTAATATATCGGTCTGAAACATGTTTGTCAGAGTTCAAGACCACTATGATTTTTCACAGGAAGTCTTAGTACATATTCTTCTACATGTAAATATTATTTTCTAATGAAAAGGCTCTTCAGTATAAAATTCAAATTCAAAGTACCACAAAATCAAGTTTTTGCAAGCTGTGAATCACACCAGTCAGGAGCATCACTTTTTTTTACGATCAGGTTACAGAATAGGGCTTTTTGCTCGTGGTCATAACTGGATCAGAGAGCACCCTCTACCGCTCAGGCACTAAGCTGATAGACCAGAGTTGAAGCCCCAAGGAGTTCTGTTACATGACTTGCCATGGCTCGTGAGAGATACATATCTATATTAAGATAACCCCAACGGGCCGAAGGTGTGACGGTTAAAGTTGCCAAGAATGGAGGAAGACAAAATAAGAAGTGAAAGTTAACGGCCAGTAATTGTGGGAATCTCCGCCTTACCTTCTTGGCAGGTTTCACCGGTCCAACCCAGACTGCAAGAACACAGTCCCGTCGTTGAATTCAGCACACCTCCATTGTGACAATCCTTGATGAGTTCACAGTTGGGACCGTAATGGCCAATCTGACAAACTGAAAAAAAAAGTAACCCTAAATCAATATAAAATATTCATAATACTATCTGACAGACCTTGTACCAAGGGCAAAATGGCGAGTTGAACGCACTTATCATAAATGCTTGATATTCAATGTAAACTTTGATTTGAAGCCAAGCTGCGTGTAATTCACATACTATCATTAAACTCAAAAAGAGGAATTCTGACCCCAGGACCTCAGCCATGCAAGGACAGATTTTCTTCAGACTTGGTAAAAATATATTAATTATTCCTATGTAAACCCACACAGATGTCACCCAAATGAAAAATACTAGTTTTTTACACTTTTGTCTATGAATGAGCGCTTCTTCCTTTACATAGTCACTAAAAACATAATTCATTACATCATCAAAATTGAGACACCTGTAAGAACATCTGGACTGAAAGCTCTGAAATGTGTCAGTGTGCTTGAGGGAAGGTTCTGAGAGAGAGATGGAATTACGCACTCCTTTCACAGCGTTCTCCGGCAAACCCTGGCAAACAGTTGCACGCGCCGGTCACATGATCACAGGAGGCACCATTGTCACAGTCGCAACTTTCTGAGCAGAACATGCCGTAGTAACCCTGAGGACAAGCTGGAGGATTATCAACAAGAACAAAATTAAATATGATAGATATACAAACAGTGATGGAGATTATCAAATCAAAATGCCTCATGCTGTGATCGAGAGAGTTTAAACAATTAGAACCACGGAACTAACTAGCCTGAAACAGGAGGTTCTTACTATAAACCCTGCTGTCTTGGTGTAATGTTGGGCCGGTCAGCCAAAAATACAAGTACTCTCCATCACTTTAGAGGATAGGATACTGGACCTTACCAGCAAAGACTCAAAATGAAGTGAGTTGAAGGGGCCATTAACATAGCAAACGATTTGGCGAAGCATTCCTTGAGAGTGTGTGATGAAGACCTCCATCGTAGTTGTGTTTCAACGGCAAAGTATGAGTGAATATTGAAGATAACGGGAGAATGTGAGAGATTAAGGATTAACTGAGGGATACAGTTTTGAGATCTGGTCTGTGTCTCACCCTGGTCACAGGTTGGTCCGATCCAGCCGGGCTGGCAGTGACAGGTGCCATCTGTCATGTCGCAAGTAGCGCCATTGCCACAGACGCAAAACTGGAGACAATTGGGTCCGTAGCGACCATGGTGACAGTCTGTTTGACAAAAATGTTTCAGTGGAGAATTCTGTCAAATCATACAAACTGTTTTGCTTGGGTTTATGAAGCACTACATTACATTTCTCATGAGACTGTTGTGAGATGGTGTGAGGACTTTGCATCATCTTTGCGCATAGTTATCAGAGCATTTTGAGAAAAAGCTAGTCTCAAGTTCAGCTGCATGCCTAGCACTCAGATTCCCAACTGCTCAAAGTTCCCAATGGACACTCTCTTGGTACGACACTTGAATTCCTTATTCTAAATCAACTTATATTTAGGTTTATCAGGGGTTTTTGTCAAAATGTCATGACAAGTTTCTCAAAATATTGCCTAGTCACTGAGCACGTCTAAATATACAGAAGTTGAAAGGACCTGGAAAAGAACTTGATTGTAACACAGATGTGAATAAGCATTTCTGTGTACCTTTGGTGCAGTCTTTGCCATGGTAACCTGGTTTACACTGACATTCCCCAGTCACAGAATCACACAGAGCGTTCTCAGCGCAGTCACAGACTTCAGCACAACCTCCACCCCAGGTGCCTTGTGGGCAAGCTATAAGGACAAGCAGAATGTGAAACATAGGTGTATGTATGAGCGAGGGAATCAAAATCAATATGTTGAGTTAAGATGGATACAAAGTTGTAAGAATTCTATTAGATTCTGTTGAATTGAGACTACTGAGAGAAAGTCAAGATGTCACGGCAGTGGTAACTTTAAATGCACGAAACACAGTGCATCTGTTTGTTGGTTGGGCTATCTGTTTAACTTTTTGTGGTGCTGAGGGAAGCACAGTAATAGTGAATGCCTTAATCGGTGCTCATGGCTAGTGACATTTGTAAGTGATGATGACTTCCAGTGATCCAATCACAACTTGTCTTGTCATGGCATGGGGCTCAATCTAGGCTGGGTGACTTACGCATACTGCATTCATGGCCACTGAAGCCAACTGGACAGGTGCATTCCCCAGTGATGTGATTACATGGGTTACCCTCGCCGCAGGTACATGGAAGCGAACAGTTTGTGCCGTAAAAGTTTTCTGAGCAAGCTGCAAATGGAAAATAAAACATTGAATGAGTATTGACAAATGGTAAATATTCCGCATCACCTCAATAACAGCAACACTTAATCCAACATAACTGCAGCCTTTACTCGGTGTCAATGACCTTCTGGATTGTGCACATTCAAATGAAAACTCATGTGAATGTTTTTATAACACCATCAACTGTTGGAACATCATTGCATTTTCAGTCGGCCTACTCACGTCCTGAGCAATAAGTCCCTCGCCATCCTGGCATACAAGCACACACCCCGGTTTTACTGTCGCAATTTCCGTTGACGCACAGGCAGCGCTGCATGCAGCTCTTGCCCCAGTAGCCATCCATACATCCTGTGGAGGTGAGAGAGCAACATTCTGTGTGACAGGCCCTCTGAGAGAATCTCACACAATGTATACCCAATGTTGTATTAGAGTTCACAAGCCCAGTCACAAGTCCCTTAACAAGGCCAGCCACAAGTCCCTTAACAAGCCCAGTCACAAGTCCCTTAACAAGGCCAGCCACAAGTAAGAGGGTGAACAATGACAAAAGAATGCTTTTGTCACAGCTCATTTGAATAACTTGTGAATTGGCTAAAGACTGAATTTTTGACGGTCTTTTGCCTTTTCCATTAGGGTGCCAAAATGGATGACACAACAAAACAGGGATCTCTAATTGCTCTGCCTCATGCAAACTAAAGCAGAACTATCAAAAAGATGGCCTTAAGACTCATGTTGTGGGATCCAGTCACTTTATCAAAAAGATGGCCTTAAGACTCATGTTGTGGGATCCAGTCACTTTATCAAAAGGATGGCCTTAAGACTCATGTTGTGGGATCCAGTCACTTTATCTCAAGGCACTATCAAGATGTTTCTCCCTTGCTTACCCTCCTCGCAATGGTCGCCATACCAACCAGACGGGCAGTCACATGACCCATCCATAGGGTCGCAAAAACCCCCGTTGAGGCATTCACAGACCTGATCACAGCCTGGTCCATAGAAACCAGGGGCACACTCTGTAGAAAGCACAAGAGGATAAGAATGCCAGCGATTACTTGTATTTTGGTACTTCACCCTGGAGACGCTGCATCCGAGTCTTACTATGAAGTACTTTCTTCATCTGATCTAATATTTCCTCCGTTCTGTTTGCTACAAAGATGTACATTCAAGTTTCCTTCTTATTTCATTTCTTATTGTATTTCTTCAATAATGATTACAAAATTCACAGGCATTTATATGGAGGTACCCCAGTGCTGACTCAAAATTACTGACTGAAAGACGAGGCTAAAAGATTAGACTAAGAAGAAAAACTGCTTGATTTGAATTAAACCCTTTGGTTTCAACTTACCAAATTCACAAGCACGACCAATGAACCCAGATGGGCAGATGCATTCACCAGTGACAGAGTGACACGTGGCTCCGTTGCGACATACGCAATGCTGGGCACAATTCACGCCGTAAAAATCAAGCGAACAAGCTTGAGAAACCAAACAAAAAAGTCACTTAAGATGGATGAACCAAAATTATCTTGAAGGAATAGTCAAAACAAGGATCAATTAAAGCTATCAACTAGCTCTGTTGCTTTTTTTGATAATTTTTAAACTACCTTTTTATCCTGTTTTCCCCTTTTATCATGTTCATTTAATCGATTTGTGCTCTAAATCACGAACAGGTTTGAAGAAATCTGATCACAATTTATGTGTTGAAGAGAAAACTAAGTTGAAGCCTACGTTTGTCACAGCGAATTCCTCTCCAGCCGTTGGCACAGATACAGCGACCGGTCACATGATCACAGATGGCGTTATTCTCGCAGTCGCATGTGTAGATACAGTCCATGCCCCACTCACCATGAGAACACTCTGAACAATTACAGAAACAAAGGTCAAAATAGAATTCTGAATAAAAAGCAAACTTTATGAAAGTTGTAGAGTACTTTGTCTGTACATAACACTTCACTTTGTCAAAGGGCTGAAACACATTCTCTGTTTTTCACCGAGGTCTACAATTTGTTTTGGGAATTCCATTTGGGGTGGATAACAAATTACCAAAGGGAAAATGGCTAAGCGATCCCTTTCATTTTCTGAAATAACAACATCAAACTGAATACTCATGAGCTGTCTGAAGTGGCCAAATGTGGAGCCTCTTATCAAAATCAGTTAGCAATTGAAATAGGTCAAAATCTGGGAAATTACAAAGCTTAACAGGCATAAGCAGTTAATGTGCTTGACAGCATCAGTTTTGAGCATAAGTTATGAGGAGAAAGCATTGGGGGTGGACAGCAATTGATGGAACAGCCTACCTTCGTCGCAGTAGTCACCCGTGTAGCCTGGTCTGCAGTTACATCGACCAGTGGCAGGGTCACAGCGAGCTCCGTTGCTGCAAGAACAGATTCTCTGACAGTCGTAACCATAGAAACCATCCGGACAAGCTGTGAAGAATTGACAAAGCAAAACAAAGTCCCAATGAGAAGAAGATTTGCACACCAGTTTTGAGGAGAAACGATGGATTCAGTGTTTTGAATGAAATGTTCTGTCTATCACCAAAGGGACATATGTCACATTAAAGCTCTGAATTAATCAAATTTACAATTTTACTTGTAAAAGCCAGGTAACTCTGAGAGTGTTTAATGGCTGAGTGAATGGTGACACACGTGATCTCTGGGGTTTCACCCTCTGAAATCTTGCCAGGCCAATCATGACCCAACTTGTGGGGAAAGGGGTATGGTGAATGAGTTGAAAGCAACTAACCTCTTCAGCTTAACACCTGACAGTCGCTATACTCCCCCATGCAAATGCAGTTTACAAAAACAGTATTGGCAGTTTTTCTTTTTGGCCGAGGGTTTGCCAATTCTCCAAATCCCTCTACCAAACAGATGTGCAACTGGAAGACAGTTGCTTTCACAAGCTTCCTTCATCACAAGCGTGGACCCAGGATAAGAGGTCAGAACATAGCAGCCAGACCCACCTTTGTCACAGATGGCTCCCCGCCATCCTGGTGCACACTCGCAGGCTCCACTGATGTGATCGCAAGTGGCATTGTGCATGCAGACGCAGGCATTCTCGCAGTTCTCGCCATATACACCATGCGGACATTCTAGGGACATTAGAAGGACGACAAAGAAAGAAGTTATGGGAAAATGTATAAATGTCTGTTGGAGTTGCAGAATAAAAAAAAAGACTGCTTCATTCCGTTTTAGGGAGTCAGGCTGACATTATTGGCTCTTTCCTTGCCTTCGGCCGCTGTGGCCTGGGTTCGAATCCCACCGAGGTCTGCACGTGGACTGGGTTTTTAGTCCCTGCGTGATTTTATTGGTAAGGGTGGGGGGGGTGATTAAATCAGAATGAGGGCGTCATTCTGCTGACCTTCGTTGCAAAGCCTTCCAGCCCAACCTGGCGTACAGATACAGTCTCCAGTAACGGGGTCACAGCCGGCGTTGTTTTCACACTCGCATCGTTCTTCGCATCCCTTGCCGAAATATCCGGCACCACACTCTATGCAAGGAAGAAAGGAAAGTAATATCTCAACCCTCACTTTCCAGGTACAGTCATTTCCTCCGAGATCCCCCATTGTGCTGGAAACTTACGGCACAATCTTCACACAATTACTTCCAAGATGCATCAACCCCCAGGTAAAGTAACAGTGGCTATGCTCTACCTTCCTCAATCCTGCAAAATCATTCAAGATCTATAATTCATTTATACAAGAATGATATTTGCAATAGTGTTCAGCCCATTACAAAAAATGCCAAAAATTGTTGCACTAAGATCAATTTTTTAAGCAACATACTCCCTCTTTCACAAATGGAATTGTCCATGAGTCAATCCAATCTCCCTTACCTTCACTGCAAGTTGGACCCCTCCATCCCGGCGCGCAGGTGCACATGCCTGTCTCAGCGTTGCATGCCCCTCCGTTCCGGCACCGACACTGGTGGCGACACATCAGGCCGTGGTGACCCCTGGGACACCCTAGCGAAGGGGCAAAGAGGAAATGCTGTCGGCCAACTTTTTTAAACTGGTCTCTACCAGTCACAAATGACTCAACGTAAACTCTGGGGGTTAACATTCCCCCTCCCAATAATTTCCATCTTTTAGTGAGAAGTTATCCAAGCTGATTGAATGCATGAATTAATAATCTTGTGCATTTTGATTTGTTAACAACAAATTTAGAGCCAAAGTAAACTTTCCTATCTTCAACCCACAAATTATTTACAATTGCTCACTACTGCTCAGAAACTTGAAAAAAGTAAACGTGCTACACTGCAACAAATGCGGTTGTAGCCATCCTTAAGAGGCCTAAAAAGGAGTCTTAGTGGATTCTATGTTCATACACAGTGAAAGAAGCGAGCCATCTGGTCAGTATGTCCAGCCCAACTTGAAGTTCACCCTCACCGGCAAAACTACGACACCTCAGGAAAGTTTTTTCAATTGGGCTTGTTTGCACACACAAAGCGAGTGAAGAATCTGATGTTACAAGAGATACTTGTCTTGCATATCCAACATGTCCTACAAAACATGCACATGAAACTGTGTATGTAGGTGGTATTTGAGTTCCTACATACACACACATCGCACTGGTTCAACCGTTGTTGCTATGAAAAAGCATGTCCACTCTTGTTTCCGGCCGGGAGTGGACAGAGATCGGTCATCTGGATCCGTCTCTGACTCTAGCAAGGAAAAAACCCAACTCACTGGTGGTGCAGTTGGCACCGAAGAAACCCAGTGGACACAGACACTCCCCGTTGGTCTTGTCGCAGAGCTGGCTGATCAGTGGACAGCTACAGTTTTCTCGGCAATCCACGCCCCACGTCCCATCTTGGCATTCTGCCAACCAAGGAGAATTGGATCAGGTATCACCAAGAGAAATGGTAATTTATTGAGAAACTAGGAGATAGCTCAAGGTTATGAGTAATGACAGAAAATAATTTCCACATCTATAGGCGACTTTTGTATATCTACAACTGTACATACAGCATATTAAACTTGAACAGGGTTTTTTGTTAATGTCCAACATTTAACAACAGGAATCTGTTGATTCAAGTCCTCAGTAAGCAGGTGAAGTTAACTCACAAACTCTTAGCCAGCATTAGGTAAAATCTGATGAAAAAGACCTGGGAGAACTTGATTCAGAAGGTAGGCATTTACAACATAAAAGTGCAAAAATCTAGTGCATTTTGTGACAACAGATTTGCGAGGTGATATTAGTATTTTGATGGTTCTCATTATGAGTTTCACAGTCTACGACCAACACCAACATGCATACAGGTAAGCACAGGACTAATCTTGGACTACAGGTACAAAAATGACAGAACACAACACACTTGGTTATCACGAGGTGTTACATGGGACGTGTATCATTTTTAGAAAATGATGTCATCCACTAGACTAGAGTGCACAGGGTCAAGTGTTTACACCAAAATTGCTGGGAACGATGAAAGTACAAATACTCTGACAACTAGCATACTGTAGGCTGCATTTTGTTATTGGGTTCATTTAATGGCCAACTGCAAGTTCTGGTGTAAACAGTTGTTCCCTTTTAAGATGACTTCATTCTACTGGTTTCTTGGCTTCCTTGGTATCTTCACTACGCTAGGAACTTTTCTGAAAAAATCCTCCACAATCTTCCACTGTGCAGGTTGACGGCGCACCCTTCAGATACCATCTTTTTCAGGGCATCAGACCCCATGTGATATTTACAGGGTGCTGTCTTCTTCAATCACACAAAATCCCACCAAACTTTGTCGTGGATTTTGAAGGATCTAGGAATAATTTGGATTTAACAGAGGAAATAGAGGGAAAGTACATGCAGGGAAAAAAAAATTTCAGAAATTGGCACTGAGGTCATGTGTGTCTTGTCACTAGAGATCTGTCACTGGTCACAAGTTTACTTGTCACTGAGCACCCATCTATCATTTGTCAGTGCCATTCTTAATTCACAATGTCGCATGTTGTCCATTTTACTTTTCTTTCTGTAGCTGAACAGAAACATCCTGACGACTTGCAAAGCAATTCTATTGGTCAGTACAACATTCAACACCAAAGTCATACATGTAGAATCACTGGAAACTCCAACATGATTGTTTCATCTGAGCTCATTTACAGCAGAATATCAGGCTGTTTAGTGAACAAAAATCACGTTTAGTAAAGCAAAATGGTTGATGAGGTAAATGAAATTGAAAGATGGAAACTGAACTACGTGTACATGTGCACAAAAGCAAAGTTAAGTTAAGCTACATGCTAATGGTCATAAGCTAGGCTACGAAGCTAGAAGCTATCATGCTATAAGCTAAACAGAAAATACATGCATGCGAGGCCAAAATGGTGTCACAGAAACCGGTGCTACAATCACTATGCTGGCATAATGACAGATTGTTTGCTCCAATTACTACTGTACCCTGTTGGGGCATAAAGACAGTTCTCAGGGTAATAAAGCTTTGTTTTATCACAAAGCGCAAGCAAAGACTGCTCAACCAGAAACTTATGAAATAAGGATTGTTTTGAAAAAGTTCATATCTGATGCTTCAAGGTTTTCACTGTATTGAGAAATCTGTCTCCGAGATCAAAAAGGATGGACGTATGGCCTTGTAGGACAAAACTGTAGGCACTGATAGCAAAATAAAAACAGGAGCAAGAAATGAGGCGTCTAATTTTCTGTAAGGAGAAGCAACAGAAACCCAAACAATCGGAAGTTTCTTGTTTGACTGATCTTAAAAGCATGAGCACAGAAGCTGGAATTGAGCTGGACACAGTATTACGTTTCAGCGCCCTGTCTCCGTGACCCTCAAGTTGACCCGAGCATGGCATGCAGGCCACGGCAAAGCTCGTTCTCACCCTCGGCGCAATCAACACCCCTCCAGCCAGCTGAACAGAAACATGCACCCGTGATCTTATTGCAGTCGTTGCCGCCGCAACGGCAGTCAAATTTGCAGTTCACGCCGTATTGCCCGTATTCGCACACTGCGTGTGGTTGGACGATACGAGATGGGAAGGGGGATGACCAAAACAAAAATGTGATACATGAAACAGCAGCAGGATGAAATCAGATGTGTGACCCACTCATAGCAAATCATTACTGGAGTCAGCTCTTGAGTAAGAACAGAGCTTTGTACTGTACTTCTTGATACTTGATTGCAATGAGTTCCTAAACATCTTTGGAATACAGGTGTCTGTAGATGAGACAGCTCTCCTCCTTTTTACTAAGATGCCAAATTTGAGATTTGAGAGACACTTTTTCTATCAGTGGGTCACAAACATTTCTCTTTAAAGTAAAGATGAATAGACACAGTGATGCAGTGTGAGAACCAGCAAAGCCTGGAGGTATAAAGGGATTGCACTCCACGTTGTTCAATGGTTCCTTGCCATTGTAAGGAACTGTAACCGAGTACCAACTGCAAGGGGTCTATTGAAGTAACAAGGAAGAAACAATGACAAAGGAATGCTTTTTTAACAGTTCATAGCTTGTGACTTGAGGCTGGACAACCTGTGATTTCCTTATGATTTGCTTACAAGTTGCTTACAAATCAGCTTACGACTGGCTTATGGTTGGCTTGTGATAGACGCATGATTTGCCTATGACTAGCTTACAAATCAGCTTACGACTGGCTTATGGTTGGCTTGTGATAGACGCATGATTTGCCTATGACTGGCTTACAAATCAGCTTATGACTGGCTTATGATTGGCTTGTGATAGACGCATGATGACAACTCTTGACAAAACAGGTCCAGAGCACTCAGCATATTATCCACACATTTGCATGAATCTAGTGTTGCTACAAGTGTATTTGGCACCTGCTTATTTAAAAGGATCCCCCCACTGCATCACTGTGTCACTTTCCTAGACATTACTCTGTGTCATGCTTGTTTCTCTATGAACTGGTTCGCAGCATGCTTCACATGACAACATAAAAAGGCAGAGAAATTGACGGAGATCAGCAGAATGTCCTTGGTAAAGAATTGAAGCTGATTGTAGTGTACCTTCTCATAACCTCCTAGATGTAAAAGCCGCCCGTGTAATTCACACAAAATAAATGAGAGATATATGTAAATGAGAAATTTTGTGGCCAACTTCACTGAATTCCTAAGCAGATGTTTAAGCAATTTCTTCCATTAATGCTACCTCCTAGCTGTTTGCTTGTACTTTTAGCCAGAGAATAAGCTTTTCTGATCAAAGCACATCTTGCACAAGCAAGACCGAAGCAGAAATACAACACAGTCAATTATGAAGCGGCCATTTGGAGACTTTCCCTATTACAGCAAAGCAAAGTTGGTTACCAAAGTTGGTTTAATACTACTGGGCCCCAGCTTGTTTTTCTCACAGAGACCTCCACAGACTTATGTGTAACTGTAATCCAGACTGACGGAATACCAGTGAGCAATTCTAATAAGCAAGTTGTTAACTGCATGGAATGTTAGACGGTTGACTTACGATGCTCACACGCCTCTCCATAGTAACCTGCTGGACACTCCTTAAAACAGTCACCGGTGATCTTGCTGCAAGACGAGACATCGCGACACTGGCAGACATGGCGGCACTGTTCACCCCACAAACCTGCAGGGCATTCTGTGAGGAACCAGTGAAAACAAAAACAGGGATGAACCATTATGATGGTGGGGTACACGGAAGGGCGTAAAATGACAAATTCTGACTAACACAGACAACTTCCACTCCAAGTTTCAGATGTCAATTAGATGCCAATGACAGCATGTCATTGGCGCAAAAAACTGAAGTCCAAGACAGAGGGTATCCGATTGAGGCATGGCTTACCTTTCTCGCATCTAGCGCCCTCGTAGCCTGGTTTGCAGATGCATGTCCCCTTCAGAGGATCACAGCCCGTGGAGAAGTGAATATTGCAATCGCAGAGCTCTGTGCAGCCGGTTCCGTAAAAGAAATCGGGACATTCTGTGCAAGGCAACAGCGACGAAAAAAACCCCAAAACAAATGATTGGTCACATGTGTATCCCTCCTTTTGCTACGACAACCACAGACAGTCCAAAATTCCTTCACACTTGATTTGCAAGAGTGCACAGACACACAATGGGTCATTTGACTGATTTTATCTGATAGCACAACTGTGTCAAGAATGCATCTTTGCGTAGGCAGGTTTATAGGCAATGAAAAGAACACCTTACACAGAGAACAAGCAGAAACAGTATTTAAATGGACCAGTTCCCGAATTGGGCAACATTAGAGACTTTTCTGAAATATCTAGAAAACTCAAAAAGTCTTTGGTGCAGCTTTCCAGCGAAGAGTTCCACAACCTCCTGGTGGATGTTTACGGATATTAAGAATTTCTCATCATGGTTTGATAAAAACGGGACTCCTTACTTTGGTTACAATTGGGTCCAAATGAACCTGGGCACAAACAGGATCCGTAGCGCCGGTCACAGGGTACACCGCTGGGGCAGTTACAGTGACGATCACAGTTGTCACCAAACATTCCAACCGGGCAACCTGCGGAAAATGGATATAAAACTCATCACGAAAACCATTCAAGTGAATTTAATTCAACTTGATAGCTAAAAACCTCTTTCCAACGTAAAGGCATGCAGGAATCAGCCAGTGGGCTAGCTCAAAAAGGCAAGATCTGGGAGAACAAACCACCTGATGTAACGCCAGAACCAACATAAATCAGTAGGTAGTTGGCATGTGGCTAAGCTGATGAGGCTGACCTCATCTCATTCAGGGCAACATCCAATAAAGCGTGCCCACCAACTAAAACTAGTTCAACCTCCTGCGAATTTTTTTGAAGGCAGACATCTACAGGAATGTTAAATGGCTCTGTAATTGTCTGTAGAAAAATGAATGCAATTATGAATGCAATTTAACAGTCAACAGGTGCAATGAAGTCGTAGGTGATGAGGCAGGATTTCTGCTCTAACTGGTAGTTTTTCTGCATTACTATACTGCCCATAACTGACCCTTTCTTGTCCAACTGTTTCAGGAGACAAATCCTCATCAATTTCTTATTTAGTTTAGTTACTTGAGAACAGTCTTTCTCTTACCGTCACTGCAGTATTCTCCGTAGACACCGGCTGGGCAGGTACAGGCACCATTGACGGGGTCACAAGTACCGCCGTTGATGCAAGGACACACTTCGTTACAACCCTGACCAAAGGTATCCGCAGGGCAAGCTGACATGAGAGAAACATCAGGTTAAACCAAAATACCACCAAAAAAGAATCAATCCAACCTTTCAGTAAACAGGATTTAGTGCATACATAATGCAGCTCTGTGAAAGAAAACCACAGTTCCTCCTCTGCTTAATAATGGTAGTGTCAGGTCAGAAGACTTAGTCTCAATACTAAGGATATCAGACCATTCTGGTTTGATTGCAATTGTCTTAGCATCAGTGCTTGCTTGTGGCTCTGGGACTGAACAAACGAAGGCAGTATTGCCCTGGGTCTAGTTCCCCACTACCTGTCAGCGTGTACATTAGGGGACTTACTCTCATTACAGATGATGCCCGTCCATCCTGGTGGGCAATCGCAACCATCTTGCTTGATGTTACAGAGGGCACCGTTCTGACAATCAGAGCAGACAAGCGTGCAGCCCGGACCGAATGCCCCTACATCACACCCTGCACACAAAGAATTAGGAGGGAAAAATCAGCACCCAACATCTTGACGAACTCTGCACCGTGACACCTTCAAAACGTCATACAGTGTTTGCTTACAAAAAACAATCTTTTCATGATTGTATCAGTCCTTATAAATATGTTTGATGAGAGAAATTTTTGTGAAAACTTTTCCGAAATTTTTGCGGGCTGTGCCTTGTGGATGCCACGGCAGTGGCAACAGTGGATTACCTCAAGTGGTAATATCACAAAAGCTATTAAAAAAAAAACATCTAAGGAGTTACTTACTTGATGTGACTGTAGGCTTCAAGAACTGTTGTCGCGTTGGATTGACAGGTGGAAATACTGATCCAGAGGGTGGCAAGACCCCTGAAATCAGAAAATGTCTCAATGTCAAACAACCTGCCGCATAAAATTCCAACTAGAACAAAATCTCATCCTATCTCTTTTTTCTGTGTCCTTACTTTTCTTCTATCAAATTCTTACACGCACAAAACTTGAAAGTAACAAAAATGCAAACACGTTTTGGGCATACATGTAGGTCACTGTTTCAAAACTTACGGATGCAACTTCGGCCATCAATTTCCAGCTGGAAACCCTCGCTACAGAAACAATTATAGGAGCCGTCAATGTTTTGGCAAAGTTGATCACAGCCACCTCTGTTGTTGACGCATTCATCTATATCTGAAGGGCCAAGGTCAGAAAATTTGGAAATTAAAAAAGTTAAGTTTGAAAGAGGAGCTCTTCTTATTCCTGAAAACGAGCAGCTTCGTATTTGAGAGTGAAACGAAAAACCACAAAGGAAATCAGAGGAACTGAGTTGTTTCAGCTCAGTAAAAGGGGGCTTCGCTTTAAACACAAACCATCACAGTTGCAGCCATCTTGGTTCAGCTGGTACCCGGCAGAACAACCGCAGGAATAGCCTCCTTCGTTGTTGTAGCAGAGCTGACTGCAACAGGATTGGCCATTACTGCATTCGTTCTCGTCTATGGATTAAGGCAAGACAGAAACAAGCCAGGCTACAGTTAGAGTAAATAGCGCCCTCTCATGTTTGTGCACATGTATAATGACTGCGGGCCAGAAAACAGAGGTGAGAGACGACAAGTCATTCCATATACACGGACAAGAATCAAATGTGATCAAGAAATGTTGCAAGCCAAAGTTTGACCAACCAACCCAGCATAACAATGACCATCTAGGCCGTTTGGGGTTAAGGGTCAGAATTTCTCCTGAACAAGTTCATTCATTTTTCCATAAGCCCTAGATACAGTACAATGTTACAAAAATGACATCCACAAAGGCAAAGGCCGGTACTATTGTCTTAAGTTGATCTTGTCACTGGTTACCAACAGTGGTTTGTACAGCATACAGCAGGGGGCCAGAACTATGACTAAAGCTCATTGTAAATTAACGATTTAAATCCAGATGCTGGTCACAGGCCTAATAGACAAGCCACTTTACCCCTCCCAACACCACTCCGGGTATAAAAGAGGGCTCTCATTATCTAGAGAGCAACCTATTATGGACTAGTGTCCCATCCACGGGGAATAGTCATACACTCAGTCATTTCGTGCCAAGGAAAGTACAGATAAACAACAGCATGGGCCCAATGTCACGATGCTGGTTAGCACACAAGTTTATTTAATGCTCACAGAGGTTCCATTATTTCATGAAGACCGTAAGCGGTAGGCACGTTTTAAACCTCGGAAGAGAAATTTGCCTAACTGTGACCAAAATAAAAGTGACAAAACAATGGAAATCTCCACACGCTTGCACTGTCAGCGCAACCATGACAAGCACCACTACGAAATAGTGCTTACGGTTTAATAGCAAAATTTTCTGCTACAGTAAGCACGACTTTTCTGCTAACTGTTAAGCAGTGCCATGAAATTGGGTCCAAACCAAGCAACACCGGTCCCCGACAGGACTTGTTTCTACCTGAGCATGTCAAGCGGTCCGGATTTAGCTGAAAGCCTATTGGGCAGGTGCACCGAGCATTGTTACTGTGAGTCACGGTGCAGTTATGCTGACATCCAATATTTTCGCAAGGATTCACAGGCTGTAGCTCCACTCTGCCTTTCTCTGTTGTTGGAAAAAGAAAACAGCTTCATTTCAGAAGTCAAAAATGCCAAAATGGGGCCCTAGTGTAAAAATATAAAGGCAGAGCTATTACGGACAAAGTAAAGAATTTATGTGAATTTTGATTTGTTTCAGCATGACCAGTTAAAATGTTGTTCAAATAAATAGAGTTTTGTTACAAATATCGTCATATTTGATGTAGGTGATCCGAGGGTGCACATTACGTACAAGTACAACACAGATATCTGATTGGCTCAGAGAAAGGAACACTCATCCAATGTAGGGCCTTTGATACTCACCTGTGCATGTTATACTATCTGTCTGAAGTTCATAGCCATTACGGCATTCACAGTGAAATGAGCCTTCGGTGTTCACACATAATTGAGAACATGAATGGTATCCCAGCTGGCATTCATTCTTATCTGTCAAAGACAAACCAATGCATGTGTGGAGAAATTTTGAAGACAGTTCAGGCTCACTTTCAAATTAAACGTTTGGCAGGAGCACCTTCAGCACACAGCTTTCGGCCAGGTTTTGAAAGCTGGGTGTCCAGTGTTACCTTGAACTGAGAAACTGGGTTGAGGATTTATGCTTGTACAACCACTGGCAAAAATACCTTGATGTGTCAATCTCCAGCATGTTTCTGTCCATTTCGCATGGAACAACAGAGCGTGTGTTTTTTTTTTTTTGTATTCACCGCATAGGTGCACCATGTGGCACGCGCCAAGTACATGTAACACAGTTATTCTGGCATGTATGGTCTTTGCGTACATGCAGGACGTATGCAACAACCCGCTTGTAATCACCTGACTTTCTTTTGCTGATTGGGGGGGCACTTCAGCTCGGGGCTCACGGCTAAAACTGTGCTTCAATAAGAGTCTTGGACTCTAAAACCAATGTGTTGTGTAGGATTGATCCAGCAAGACGGCAAAAAACACTTTCCCTCCATGGGGGAAAAAAAATGAAGAAATTCCCCCGCAGATATTTACCGGCACATCTCTTCATGTCCGGCATGAGGGCGTATCCCGTGTCACAGCTGCAACGCACATTGTCTTCGTAGGTCATGCACTTGTGCTGGCATCCGCCATTGTTGATTCTGCAGGAGTATGCACCTGCATGGGATTGAGAGGAACATGAAGTAGATCCACGGCCATTAACACAACAAACTGGGCAGAGATGCATTTCCTAAGTCTGTATGAGGTCTCTCATAACTCTTCTAAGATAAATGTCAGTTATACAAAACCATACAATGATGTAACTGGACAAATTTCACAATGTCAGAGTCTGAGAAATATACCAATTAAAATCTAAAGCAGTATTGTAAAAGTTGGACTGCCAGACTGAAAAACGAGATGTGGTCTGAGCACTCGGATATCGGTCTGAGTACTCGGATATCGGTCTGAGCACTCGGATATCGGTCTGAGCACTCAGACATCGGTCTGAGCACTCGGACATCGGTCTGAGCACTCGACCAACGGTCTGAGCACTCGGATATCGGTCTGAGCACTCGACCAACGGTCTGAGCACTCGGACATTTAATTGTGAGTAGAAATCTGAGTCTTTGGACCAAAAAAATGTGCTGAGAATTTCCAAGCATTTCCAAAAGGCAGTGGACTCATGTTATGGTCCTTGGCAAATTTTACTTGAACTTTGTTTAACAAAACCTCATATTGCTACACATTCAAAGTACAGTCACACAATTCAGCTGCACAGGTTTAAATATCCTACTACATTAAATCTTCCATTTATGTGAACACTGGAATTACGGTGCACTCTATTACAACACTGCATTTCCTTTCCACATTCAAGAAACAACTTAGTTTAATATGCAGATCTGAAGTTTACATTTGCATATTACATCCATAATTGCCTTCCGTTAGACATTGACCAGTATATGTAAACTTAAGCACAATGTGGAACATTCCTAGCACAAGACTGTCCTAAATCTAGACAGCCACATATGCCTTCTGTGTTTGACATTTGCTAGAAACGGTCAACACAACTGACATTGTTTCAAGAACTGGAGAGAGCTTTCTCGCTGGTACCCTGTGCTATCTACTCACGTTCACACGACATTCCATTGGGTGCCAATCTGAAGCCAGCGTAACACTGGCAGGTGTAGTGGCCGTTGGGTTGGGATATGCACTCATGCTCACAGCCTCCCCTTCTGACCAAGCAAGGATCTTCCACTGCAAAGCAAGACAAAACATGATAATGAGCTGTGTTACCAGACCAATAGTATTAATAAGCTTCAATAATGCACGGTACAAGAAATCCTGGCTGTGGCTGACAGTAACACAAATCTATGGAAGAGGCTAAAGCCATTAAGCCACTGGCTACCATAAGAGCACACACTATTTTCAGCCACAACCCAACTTTCATAAAAACCTCACTGTGGCTATTTCTTTGCTGATGGCTGTGGCGCTATGCTCCTGAGTTTAAAATTCCTGATTTAAAAATTATGACTCATAGGGATTCCTGTCTACTGCTTGTAAAAGCAGGGGGGACTTTTTCACTCTTCATTACTGGACTAAAATAAAAAAAAATCCTCTGAGATGGCTCTTACGCAAACAGTCTATTTTTCTCCTTTTACCATTACCACAGATAACCTCAGCAGGAGTTCATCCCCTCCCCAAGCATTTGATTTCTTGCCGACTAGTGAGGTTGTCAAACCCCTGCCATGATCACACATGTAGGTCAGCCAAGGGGTGTGGCCAAAAATAGCGGTGTGCGTGGAGGAAGTGCGTGTTGTGGAAACGTCTCCCGAGTGCACCTAGCGCATCCAGGCAAGGCAGAGTGTAGGGGTTTGCGGCCGTAATCTTCAGTCAGGCAAACGTGGGGGAGGTTTTGGGAAACCCTTCCAGTTATGCTGTGGAAGGGGTTGCTAGTCCAACACAGGAAGTAAGAGGGTTGCGTTGTAAGAGTCGTCAAGTTATATAAAGCTTTCACAAGTGTAGTATAAAGACTTGGGGTCAAGGTAAAGATCTAAATGTCACAGAGAGTTTCTTTACTTTAACCCCTTCGCGCCGGGACACGGGTAGAGCCGCCATAAAAATTGAGATCATCGGCCCGCTTTTCAGCTATTGTTCTCGGCCCACGCTCGAGCGAACACTGTGAAAGAAGGCAGACCTGGCTCTTGTATATATGGTAATTGGTCTTTGGGTGTAGCCCAGAAATGAAAAGACCGAATTTGCATCATAATCACCAGCTTCACAATAGTCCCCAGTTTGAAAAGAGGCAACGGGAATGTGGAAGCGTGAGTAGAGCCGCATGCCACCAAACAATCAGCCTTTTCACTGTGTAATTCAAAGCGTGCAGAGCACGCTGGGCCACAAACCGAGAATTTTCGGTTTGGCAGGTGGCCTTCATGGCCAAGCGAGGCTGGAATTCTTGGAGTCAGCTTTCGGGAAGAAATTCCCGTCGTCAAGCGGTTAATGAGTTAATTATTCTAGCTATGTTCTGAGACCCAGTTTATAAGACAGTTACATTCCTTCCATTCTCCAAACATTCTCCAAAAAGGTCAAACTTCTGAACCCAAAAGTGGCTTCAAATGTTATAGCTTTCATTGGACATTTCAAAAATAGTGATATCAAACATTTCAATTATTGTGTTGGTGCAAGAGTTAAATTTTTATCAAATTAACCACACGTTCTAGAAATTTCAGACCTCAAAAATATCTACTCATAAAGAAATAGGAGGAAAATGGTGATATTTAAAAAACAATCATTTTGTGGCTCTCCTAAGATACAAATTTTTTGTTGTGTACTCACCAACACAGGTCCGTCCATCTGAGTGTAGTCGCTTGCCCACGGGGCACTCGCACACAAAGCTTCCCTGGTTGTTACGACAAGTGCCACCGCAGCCTCCGTTCTGGATACGACACTCATCAATATCTGAAACAGAGACGAGAAAAATGAACAAATACTCCAACTTGCAACATTATCTGGTAAGATCGGCACAAGATGGCTGAAAAACAATTTCATCAATGTAGAAAGTGCACTTGTACATGTTCTTAGTGGATTTTTTAAAAATTAATTAAAAAACAAAAATGTAACGCAGGCACGACCAAGGGATTTGAAAGTATGTTGGTATTGGAGTGATTTGAAGGAGCGCAGTATCAAAACCTTTTGACACGCAAAAATGTTGAAGTTGATATCACAAGATGAACAACCATTTTGCCTTCAAAATGGTGAATAAAATGTGTACCACATCTGCACTTGATGTTAAAAAAATGTTCTCAATTTCATGGTGATCAGGAAATATTTCAAGTTGGAATTTTGTATTTCCCATTCCGCTTAGAAATACTTCATCTGCCTGAGGCAAAAACGCTTCGATTTGTAACTCGGTCAAGGAAACAAATAAAAATAGAGATGCTCTACATTTCCAATGTTTTCCAATAACGTCAATTGCCAAAAGTGGGTAAAGTTGGATTAACCTTGTTATATGAAAACACTCTTCCGCATGGTTGGAAAATGAGAACGGAACTACTTGTACTTTGGGATAAAAATAAAGTCATAATAGCATATTTTTGTGAAGTCATGGCACGTATGAGATTGCCTTCCAAACATTTCCCGTGCTTTCATCCCTTGGTACATGATCGATCCTTTGGTGAACTGCGATCAAGTTCTGTTTGCCGGTGAGAGCAAAATCTACGCAAGCACACACAGTGGCTTTTTCCAGGGCTTGGCCATTCCGCGATGTTGGTGGGAACAGGAAGCGAGGCAGAGGAGGGGAACAAATCAGGACACTGCCCTCTCTGGCGACACCTGTGCAAGGTTTTGACAAGCACTCGGAACACTGGATATCTATTCTTGTCTTGAAGTGAAAAACAGAGTGTCTGACTTGCTGAGGTAAGCTTGAACATGCATATGTAAAATAAGGCCAAGTGTTCCAAAATGGCATACGGCTGCCAAACAGATGCCAAGACATCACTCTAATGCACTTCAGCTGAGAACATTTGAGCCACCTACCCACAGCAGAAAGAACAGAGAGAGGATCAATAGATTCTTCAAAATACCCAAATCTTACCTTGAGTCACTTTGTCGCGTTAGGTGATTTTAACAAAACCATGACTGCGTGAAAGGCCCTGGGTGATAGCTGGCAGATTTTGTTACAATACCAGCGAAACAAAACTTGGAAGTGTTGTAATCACTTTTACAAATGGTTTTTAAAGAATCCCAAAGATCCTTCCAAATTTCTGCCAAATTCTGGCAATTCAACGAAAAATTTGCTAAGACAAATGGCAAAAGACAAGCGACAGTTACCTCTGCATGTCATGCCATCGGGTGACAGCTCATAGCCAGCCTCACACTTGCAATAGTAGCTGCCAATGCTGTTACAGCATTCGCCCTGGCACCCTCCGTTGTTGTACAAACACTCATTCACATCTGTGGTGAAACAAGGAAAAAAGGTGGGAGGAAAACAAGACAATGAGTAACCAGATACAATCACTATCAAGTTATTGAAATGGACAACAAATACTGACTTCCTGCTCCTACAAAGATACGTTTCTTGCTGTCAGCACAAAATATAAAAGAATCAAAATGCCTAATAATAAGCACTGTCACCAAATACTTACTAAATACTGAAACCTGGCCCTCTTTCAGAGGTAACAGGGCTTACAATGTACACACTATAAGGCAAATTCTGACACCAACCACAAGTGATATTTCTGCCAACTTTGGGCCATCCAAAGGAGAGAGGCCCGTTGCCCGTCCAGTTCAAATGCACTTGCTTAATATAATTGTTAGGGAATGCTTTGATCGAATCAGATAACGAGGAGTGGAGTTCTTGTCTTCTGTGAACCATGATTGATGATTCACAAATGTTCCTCCATAATAAACTTGCTCAATGGGACATTGCTGAAAGGGGTTGGACAGGATTTGTGAAAAATGGAAGGTATCAAGAATTACAATATATTCAAACACCCCTCCCTTGTGAAATTCTCAGAGGTGTAGTAAAACCGCAAACCTAATCTCCAGTGAATGGCTGGAATAACATGAATTTCTTTCCCGTTGACTTCTTTCAGGAGAAAGTCCACAGTTGCCTACATTCCATTATCCACCATGTTTAGTCTGCACTATAATCACTTTGTCAACAAGATCAGTGTTGAACGTGGGCAGGCAACACCATAGGATTAAGCATGCGGTTGGTTTCATTTCATTTTATTCTGTGGAAAAAAATTGATTGTGTGTCCTCGACGTGCAGCTGCATGGTCTAGATTAAAGTTAAAGAAGCCCTCTGTTGGTTTAATAGGCCAAGTCAATCTCCATAGGCATAGGCAGAAATCCTGGAGGGGACAGAGGACACAATGTCGAATGTCCCCTCCATAATACTACAGGAAGTGATGGATTGAGAATTTTCCCTTTTGAGTTTTTACAAATGGAATAAGATAATAAACACCGTGTGCTTAAAAAAGTGTAAATTGATGTCCCCCCAATGATCAAGGAGAGATTCGTGCCCATCTCCATAGGGAAAGAACCACAAGGTAGCCTTTTGTACTAAAAGAAAGGTTGCCACTACAAAGCACAACCTTCAAAATGCTTCAACATTTGCATGCAATACGGGCAATTCACAATAGTGCGCCTCCAAGAGTTTGCAATGCGTTGGCCAGTCACGACGCATGAAATCTGTCGACCCCTTCCAAAAAAACACTGGGTTGACAGATTTCGCGCATCGTGATTGGCCAACGCATTGAAATCTCTTAGAGGTGCACTATTGTGAAACGCCCGTATTACATCACCTTAACAATGCATGGGGATACTTAGCATATGGGAGTTTTGATTGACCACAGTTGAAGGCAGTCTTAAAATCCTGTCTTCTTATGAAACAAATCATCTTTCAAATGATACATGTAGCTGCCGTTTTTCTGAAAGTGTTTCACATGATGCCTCCTGTCAATAAATAACTTTATGTGTCTCCATATTTCAAGGTCTATCCTGACCATCAAAACTAAAATTCCCCGGTAGTTTTGGAAAATTTTGCAGGATTGAGGAACGTAGAGCCCAGCCACTGTTACTTTAAACACAGGTTTGGCACCAAAGAACTTGCTGTAGGGTTCCTACGCATGAACGCTATTGTTACCTGCATATATATGCAACAAAATGTTGTGACAAAAATGGCAGCACTTGTGAAATTATTTAATCGTTTGGCTCACATCTCTGAGCTAGATTTGCATTATGCAGTGCTCCATAATTCTGAAGTTTCTGTTTGTTCTCAACCTTGTTCTGAGTAGGTACAGTGTACGTAACAGCGGCTTTTTCTCCACAGATGTATATTTTTTTTCTAAACCCCACAACTCATCATGACTGGGATGTTTTCATTTCAGCTCAAGTCCTAGCAGGTGTGGGCCATGTGAAGTGATCGTTAAGTCAACACTTGACATGATCTTGGACTTTACTGTGGACATAAAGGATTTCAGAGAGGAGGGGGGAGGGGAGACCGGTGGGCAGATACTGTCAGGAATAATGCTGGGGAGGGGATTTTGGAGTTCGCCCACTTCGGAGGGATTTCCAAAATAAATAAGGGGATGCAGATGAAAGGATCTTCCATGGCAGGACAGTGTTTGAGGGGAGGGCTGGTGGATTAAGGTAAGTAGAGATTTAGTCCTAGTTTGATCATACAACATGAAATGCACATAGATTTAGTCTGTGGCTGGGGCTATGTGATCTACTGTGTACTGCATCTGCCCCCCTCCCCCCAAAAAAATCTCAAGTTCTGTTTGAATAAAGCTTCAAGGCAACTCAGGCAGTAATCTCCCAGCACATTCTCAGGAGTTTGCGTGCTCAAGTAAATGCAAATGTATTCAAGTCCTGGCTCAATTTCAAGCGAAAAATCGCCGCTTACCGTAGCAGAAAATTCTGTGCTTATGGCGAACACATTTCATGGGTTAGCAAGGAATTTGGGCTTGTGTGCGCACATGCGTACATCCCGCAACTAAGGATTCTGTACTTGAAAGGTTAGTGCAGAAATTTTCTGCTTACACAGTTAGTGCAGAATGGAGATCGTAAGCGCGGAATTTTGCAGTAAGCAGCACCATGAAATTGGGCCCTGGACACCAGCTGGCTGATAAGGACTTCCAGTTGGTGTGGATATAACATCCATAGCCTCCACACATTGTCAACTCCCAAGGAATTCTCAAACCTTTCTTTATGCAGAAAAGCTAATGCATTAATTGGAAATAAATCCCGGTGTGTAAAGCCATTAGGAATAAATTCTGCTACATCCTTATGTTTAAGTCTAACAACCAGCTCTAGCCTTACTTGCAGCAAAGCAGAAACAAGGAACCTTTTCATCTGAAAGCTCTAGACACCAGGGATCAGAAATTTCCATCCTGAGAGTTTTATCTAGGGGGACCATGAGCCTGAATCCCCACCCCACTCAGCTCAAGCACACCCCAGGGATATCGCTTCAGAGCCACAGCAAGAGGATTCCGGGAAAACAAAACCTGGCTCTGACAAGGGTGAATGAAGTTCCATGTGCACACCATTTCCTCAAAACTACATTACTACATGTAAGTAGGGAAAACTCATGGGTTTCTCCCTGAAATCCCAATCTGTTTTGCTAACAGGTGGAAAACTCTTGAGTATAGCCAGCTCCCTCAGTGGTAGGCAAAGAAAGATATGACAGAAACTAAAACCTCACTGCACCCATAGAAAGATGGTAATTATTGCACATAAATGTAGATTTGTGCAGATTCAGGTGGAAGCCCACAAAGTTGAACCAGTGTAGAGGGCAGAGTTGTCAAACAGCACTTCATGAAACAAGTCCACTGCATCCTTGAACAAAGGAGACAGGGAGGCCAATGGGGCTATATCCTCCCCCAAAAAGAAGCCTCTTTTTTAATGAAAGGCAATTTCTTTGGTCTCACAAAGGCCATAAACCCTAACCTCTTAGGGTGTTAGGGTCAAGGGTTACATGAAGAATGTCAAATTCCCCTCCCCCACCCTGTAAAACATGTTTAGCCACCCCCAATATTCAGTGCTGGATATATCCTTGTCCTCAAGAGGTAAATTTGTAAACAGAAGAATTCAATGACCTTGATTTTTTTTTCTTCTGAATTTGACTAATGGGAACTCAAAACAATAAACCATTTTGTAGCATTTGAATTACATTCAAATTTCGAACAGCTTAGAGATAAAGTGGCTGCCCAAATTTTGTCAAAGGAACTTTGTGCTTTTTTATTCACAAAGTCAGGGTCAGTCCTTTGAACACAAGGTATTTCCTTACCATGGATTCTGTCCATGAACAATTTGTCAAAGTTGTCGAAAAAAAAATTTAGAAAGTGAAAGAGAAAGTGAGGTCATGTCTGTTTGAATACTAGGCATGACATGTTACTTCAAATTTCACAACGGGAATTTCTGGGGACAAGTCCAACAAGGCCACAAATCTGATGGTAAGCTTGAAAGCAACGCAACACACCCCCAACCCAAAACAAACAAGTTTATAGTTCAATGTTTTTACAACAAGATCCAGAAAGTACATGTATTTGAAAAGCAAAGAAGAAAAATCCATTAGCTGTTGTGGGATTTTGAACAAAGCATTAGCATAAACAGTTGCAAAATAACAGGAATTGTTTCAGCGTAGTGAAACTTAATCATTCAACTGCACTTCCTTGAAAAACAATGGAAATTACGTGGTGTTTTTGAGTTTTTTAGAAATTCTAAATCACATGTTGATTTGGTTTTGGATGCCATGATCAAGGTTCAGAGTTATCTCCACTGCTAAAGTTCAATTCAACTTTTTTTGAACAAGTTGGCCTGCACGTCTACAATCTTACCTTCAGCTCACAGTTTCATACACCATACAAAAAAAAAACACTGCCAAAATTGTTATTTCTTACAAGGACTAGTCTAACAAACCACTCTATTTTGACCAATATAATTTTCCCAGCTTTCACTGGATTTAAGTGTCAAAATCTCTTTCCTGAAATAAGGTCATGATTTCCAATCTTACTTCTTTGAATACTTGTAAGCCTCAGATTTCCGTAAGCTTACTTTGTCAGCACACTCACTGATAATCTGACTTGTAAGTTTCTGTTGACATAAAAATTGGCTTTACTACGAACTGTGTTTGCTCAGAATTAGTTCCTGCATATCAATAGAGTCAACAAGAAAGGAACCAAAATTAGGGAGTCATCTACGCCAGGGAATACCACGTTCCATTATGGAAAGACACCCCAATTCAAACACTAACATTCTGAAGATAGATAATTACAGATATCCTAGTGGTGCTTGTCTGTTTTGACATTAGAGAGAGCAGCCAAACATTCACTGAGAGAAATACTCCTATCAAAAGAAGATGTGACAGAACTATGCCACACCAAGACAATCCCCGGCTTTGAATCGGACCCAAATCATTCAAACTTGCCAGAAATGAGTAGGCCTCC